TGGAGAGAGGGAAGTTTGGGCATTTTTGCTTAGACTGCTGCCCCCGCGACCCGGTCCCGGATAAGTGGAGGAAAATGGATGGATGGATGGATCTTCCTTCTTGTTCCACTATTCCCTACTCCCCACCCTCTTCATCTTTCCAACCTGTGTTCATGACCATATGAGCTTCATATGAGATTTCCTCTCCCTATTTTATCTTTACAGTTCTTTCACCCTTTCCTGTAGTATTCCCTACTCTACTGTCTTTTCTTCTGCATTTGTCTCTCAGCCATCTCATATCCCTGTTTCTCCATTTTTGGATTCCCCAACATAAGGCATGAAACTCTCCTTTGCCCCCTTCATCCCCCTCCTCCCTCTTCTAGCCCTGCTTTCTCCCTACTGTCCTATTTCAAAGCTCTCCTTTGCTTTCTTTCTTTCTTTCTTTCTTTCTTTCTTTCTTTCTTTCTCTTCCTCTCTCTCTCCCTCTCCTCTTTCCGCAGCCAGAGGTTAATACACTTTAGGATGGCATTATTTTCTCCCTGGCTCTCTGACAGTATAAAAATGTAGAATGGACAGCTCAATCCCTCTTCCATCTCAGATTTGATTGTAATGGTATTGCCTCCTGTCCCTGGGAGGCCCCTGCTGCCTCACCAAACTGGCCTTTATGACATTAAATGGCCGGGCTACAATTTTTCCATCTATTCAAAAAATTCTGTTAATAACTCATTTTGAATGAGAAATCTGCACTCCCTGGGCCGTCTGAGGCCAGGTCTCTCACCCCTGTGCTCACAAGGGTCAGAAAATATAGGAAAAGATGCAGGGCAGAATTGCAAATGTAAAAGGTTAATTAATGTCTGTGAATTTACAGTCCCATTCCTCCATTCCCCTTGCACTCCAATTGACAGTCCCAAAGAGACAACAATGTCATATTTACAGCCTCACATGGAGGAAGCGCTCAGCAATGCACAGCAGTGGAGCGCAAGCGCAGGTTTGGCCGACCCTTCTCCCCTTTCCAACCTTACAAGTGTACCCCTTCATCACGCTTGATGGATTTATGTAATAAAACCCATTTCCTTTTCCCATACAATCCTATTAAATAAAATAATAATTATTTATTGATTATTCAGAAAGGTACATACATGCGTGGGTAATGGTTTTGTACCACGCCACTGGACCTGCAATAAATTAAGCAGGCAGAGAGAATGTTTGAGAGAGCCAGAGAGGAATAAAACCGAAGGGGAGAGAGATATGAAGGGGAATGAAATGACTTTTGAACCAGTGAAATCTGGATCCAATACAACATCTTGCAGTGCAGACAAGGAAGGACATTATTCAATCTTCACCAAGCTCATGTTGGAGAACAACCCTTAAATGGTTTTGATACAGTGTATAGACCATCGAAATTAAAACAGACAACTGCATCAGTCTTGCACTTAATATTTTTTGAACTAATCAGGGTTATGCTTAAACCAGAATATTTTTAATGAATATAATATGAAATAAGTTTTATTTCAGAGGAGATTAATACATCTCTATTATTGTGGTTTGCCATAATCAACCAAGGCAGTATTTGAGAAGTATACTGCACACTGAATACCACAATATATATTGCCTAATGTAATCTAAAGGTTTTAGCCATCACCTTCAGACTCATTAAAAAATCCTGCTAACAGTGCCTACTTTAATCATTAACAAGTATCTAAAATGTTTTGGAGATTTTTGTTGCACAGAAGTTCTGCTTGGGGTCTAGTAATCTGTCCAGCTGTGTGCTGGTGATTGACATTTCTGTTTTTCTTCCCTTGTCATAAAACAAAACAAAACAAAATTACAGCTCCACATATACTGTAGAAATACTAGTACCTTTATAATGGTCCTTCATGTTATTCAAGCCCCCTATTCCCAGCTGTGGGCCATTTCAAAAAAGAGACACTTTTAAGGTCAGCCAGATATTCACAGAGGGCTTCTTAATAACCCATTTGTGTTTGGTCTTATCCTCGGCTAAAGTGCACTCGCTCTCGATTGTCTTTTTCCTTGGCTTGTCTCAAGCTTCCTGTATGCCATAGAAAAACAGATGCAATCTCGGCTATATTACTTCTCAAAGCACTCATATCCTCTCCCATGTTATTTTCTTTGATCTGCTAGGCTTGCTGCTCTTACACCCCGCTCCCTCACCACCACACGCCACCCCCTGAACCGTCTCATGCCCCCCTCCTCCCAATCCTCCATTCCTTCCTCCTCATTTTCCCCTCAGTCCTCTATCTCACTGCCAGTGACCAGATTTTAGACAGGCCAGCCTGGTTCACGGTTGCTGCAGAGTTTAAATCAGCTAATCTCTTCTCTGTCATCAGAGGGTTAGAGGTGC